TTTTTTTTTTTTTTTTTTTTTTTTTTTTTTTTTTTTTTTTTTTTTTTTTTTTTTTTTCCATCAATCAAAATTGATTACTATCGTTTAATACACACGACTAAAGATTAGTTTATTAAGGCGTGATTCGATTAATAAGCGATGACTGGTCCTACAGTTTTTTTCGTTGATTGCCAAGTTAAAATATTTAAAGTCACTTGGTGCTGAAATTACAATACATGCCGACATAACCAGCGACGGATACCCTTTTAAAAAAACTTGATTGTTGCAGCAACAACCTCAAGAGAAAAAGAAAAAAAAAAATTACACAACCAAACTCGCCATCACCTGTAGCGTTTGGATTACGATACCGTGAGAAATTCCGTAACATTCCGTGAGTTTTTCAAAGGCTATTGGAAAAAAAAAAAAAAATGTCTACTCCCATTCGAGTATCAATAAGTGTTTTTATCGCGTCTACGCATACCGCGATCGTAATAGCACCCAAGTGTTAACTCGACGCGCGCGCGAATGAAAATACACGGACTATACAGCCGATCATCGTTTCAATTAAATTCCTAAGGCGTCAACACGCGTCGCAATGCAGATACACGCGAAATCACGAAGCGCATAGCCGTGCGACGGTGAGAGAGAGAGAAAGAGCCACAGGTAGCGTTCCCTAGACAATTGTGTATTCTTTTTTTTTTTTTTTTTTTTTCTCTCTTCGCCGTGACCTCCTCTGATATTTGTGTCACGTGCCTATGTGGACGCTCTCTTCCGTAAACATGTCTTCTTTTTCAAGCAAATGAAAGGAAGGAAACAAAACAAACGATCGCCCGGTATAGACCTGGACGAAAATCGTTTTTAATCGTCAACGCGCGATTGCCTTTTATCAAACTCGGGGGGTCACGCGATGAGCTTCTTTCTCTTCTTTTTGTTGGAAACGTGGTCGCCTTTTTTCTTGAATGTACAGGTTGTATGTATGTACATTGTGCCACCCTAATTTCGAAAAAGAATATGACCCTTAACTGTTGTCTTAACAATAAGCAGTAATTTATTTAAAAAAGAGTCAGATGTGCTTTTTTCGTACAGTGTGTGGCCAAAAAAAACAGTAAATTGTCCTTTTTCGTACAAAAGAGTTATGGTTTCTGTAGGTGGAAAAAAGCGGTTCCTTTATAATGTGTTTAAAAGACGTTTTGGGACTTGAAGGTAAAAAAAAAGGACATTCACTGCTAAAAAAAAAAAAAAAATGATTTCAGTCCTCTGCGTTATAGTTGCATCCCTTGATTTCGACCGAGGACCGAGGAGGTAATTTCTTGTCAGAAGACGTAAGAGTACTATTCTAAAAAGTAATTTATGCAATTTCTAGATGGGAGATTATGCTGCACTCTTGATTCTTGAAACCAAGGAAAAAAAAACATCGTATATTTTTAGCGGAGGTAGAAAAAAATTATACACGTGACACACGGGAAAAAACAACTTAGCTTCCAGAATGTTGAATGAATTGTTGTTTATCATATTTTTTTAACTATGAAATTATTGTATAGCTGTTATAATAACTGCTTGTAATGCATAGTAAAAATTTTTGTGATACCCACACCCTCCCACTGTAGATTCAGGAGGTTAAAATACGCATTGACGGGAGGTACAGCTGCTTGGGGTTTTTTGAATTTCCCCTATTGCTCCATTCTTGGATCCGCCCTTTTACCAAGCAGCTTACTCCTTACGTGGCATATTTTGCGTGGCTGTTCGAGGACTGCTATGAAAACCGACCTCATGCGTTTGAAATCGCTTGAACTTGAAAATTTTTTCACACCTCGGCTCTTTGTATTTAATTCAATTTTTTTACTCGAGTACGTAAATTGTTGAGATGAGATACTCGTCGGTGACTATTTATTAAATATTTGCATTTTAACTACGCACCGCAAAAGTTTTGTGGACTCGACTTTTAAACGTTTTTTTTCTCAAGTCTGCAAAAAGTAAAAAAAAATTGATATTTCAAATATAGACCTTTATAATTAACAACTGCATTTTTATAAAACTTGTTTGATAAACAAATTCACACTTATGATTACTTGTACCACCAAATGTGATATATTTTTTAGATTTGAAAAATTCTTCTAAAAATACTTAAAAGCAGTCCAAAAATTAGTTTTTAATAAAAAATTTTAGGTCTTTTATCGAAATATAACTTAGTGAAATGTAATATTTTCACACGGGACGATCTAGATAAAAAAAAAAAAAAAAAAAAAAAAGTAGTAAGTAGGTAAAAGTGATTTTTGTTTGTCACTAAAGTTGAAAATCTGACATCACATTATAAAAACAAAAATTTTTGATTTAAAAACTAAAACTTTTAACCATTTTGAGTCAACCTGAGAGAACGATTTTTATAATTAAGCAGTTTAACAAAACGTCAAAAGTAGGTAATATAATCAATTGTTTTCAATCACATTAAAAGTAAATAATATTCACGAGAATGGGTATAAATTAAGGATTTTCATAGTAATTTGGCATAAATGATGTTTGTAATGTGTTCAACATACTTTTTTGCTAAAAAAGTAACCATAGCAGTCGTGCCTTATACGCAAAAGTTTAGCTGTTGGCATACATTTATCTGCTTGTTATGTATCGTAGTTAGTTACTAATAAAGTTTCGACAACGGACGTTATTTATATTATTATCATCGTAGTAAATTAAATCGTACAAGTGGGAACAAAGCCTGTTGTTCTGCATATGTAATCACAAGTGCGCATTTCTCATGCACAACGGAAAATACGCTATCGTAAATAAGACGCACACGTAACAATAAAACGTTGAAAAAATAGTAGTCAACAACAATTTAGATAAGTTTTTGCGCAAATTAATTGGCAACTTGAAAAAAAAGTAAACTCTATGGCATGTAATATATTTTTACTAAAAACATCCCCCAAATGGTCGGTCATCAAACTACCGCCCTTATCATAGTGTGGTACCGATGAATTATTAGAAAGTCGTGGGTCGCACACACTTGTGTAGTACCAAGTATTTTCACTCTCGACCTTCTTAGTGGCTTCTCTATATTATTAACGAATAAATGAACATGTCCTAAGCTTCGATATTTGCACGAAATAATGACCTTCATCAATTTCACGGTACACAATGAAACGAACGATAAAGTAATAAACAGTATCAAAAAACGTAAATGAATACATCCAAAGACAAAAATGTACGCACAATTTCGAAATTTCAAGTCCGATTATTACTCGTCTTCAGCAATTCTATAAATTCCTAACGCGCCACTAGAAGGTAGGTTTGTGTGTGCGTATCCACCTGCATCTTGTACTCGCGAATTACAGATAAGAAAATACGTCAGAGGCATTTATCGGGGTATAAGGCCGATTAAACAACCCACATAAACCCATACATATGCAATCTATACCACACCTAAATACAATACACGCATTGTACGGCACGTATAGGTATATACAGACAAGCGTTATACACAAACCTGGGCAGCATGGGCGAGCCTCAGATCGATCAAGCAACAACAGAGTAGCACTAAAACGAGCGTCCAGGCTCCCCTTATTTTGTGGCGAAGCTTCGTCCTCATAATTGTCGGAGCGCCGTCACCTGGAGCAGCAATGGAGCAGGTCGGCGAAGTCGACTGCGGCTGAGTAACAGTCATCGTCTGGTGCCCGTTGGTGCAAAATATCTGCTACCGATGATGCTGTTGTTATTGCTACGAGCTAGATCCGCACCTCTAGGTAGCAGCAGCATTTGGGCCGAATAATCGACGCGTCGAGGTTTCACGGCTGTTTTGCACGCCCTACTTCGTATTAGTAGGCGCACATGAGAATATATAAATAATCACAAGATGTTCGTTGGACGGCGGCGTGTACGCGACTGACGATTTGGCGAATTCACGAATATATCTGCTGACCGCATCTGACGATCGATCGAGTATATGAACATCTACACCTATACGCTATATATACCTACAGCCCAAGCGTCCGCCGCACCGGACCACGAAGTTGCTCTCCCTCTGCGCTCTCTGACGAGTATGACTCATAGCTACGAACTGTATAATGGCTGATGTGAAAAGTTTTTAGCCAATCGGAGGGCTGCTTTAACCCTTGATCGATACCAGCCAGTGAGCGAATTTTTGTCGAAGAAAAACAATCGGCGCGAGATCGAGCGTCAAGTTTAAAAAGTACAATTTCGTACCCTGTACACTTTCATTATGTGCATGATTTTAGACATTTGGGATGATTATTGATGCTCCGAAAAATAATACTTAGATGAAGAATAGTACTCGAAAGGACAAAAAGAAGTGTCATTCAATAAACACACATTAGAGGCACGAAATTTTACGTTCTTTCAACACATCATGTTTCCAATTCGATGACTGTTAGTTAACGCTTCGGTTCGGCGATCGGCCGATCGGCAGATCTCCTCTGCGTTCTCTTCAATTATAATTACACGTATATATCCTCATCACTGCGTTACATAAATGTGTGCTTATGCAATTATATAAAACTTGACTCGCAATCCCTACTTTGTTCCTGCACTTACAAGTCTCTATTTTACACTTCCATTGTCTCTATCGAAAGGTTCATTTACCGCGTCCGTTTTTTTTTTTAAATCGATTACCGTTGCAGCTTCGAAGGATTCAAGTTGACTGGGCAAAAACTGTTTGTAAATTTATCCTACTAATTTTGATGTTGGAGGTAATCCAACTTGAGAAACGTGTATCGGCGTGAGTCGGATTATTTATAACGCCCAGTACGTGCATAACAAATTTTAAGTTACGTACAGGTGGATGCATTTGTATCGTAAATATTTACGTCTAGTACGTTAGAAAAAATGACACTTTTTTTTTCTGGTACATTTTGATACTAATCTTAAGATATTAATCTTAACGTAGGGATGGATCAAGCACTTAATTTCAATCAAGAACAAAATTTAAAAAAAATTTCTCCGAATTATCGTTTTTTTTTTTAATTGACGTGCATGATCGATTACCGTTTGCCAGTCATTTTCAATTGTAGCTTACCGACCGCCTGTAAATCAATTAAACACCAGTGTATGATAAACGTAATCTCATACGTATTTTCATTCGTTAAAGCAAAAAGTTAACTCACCAAGGTAGTATAATTGTTATTCAGCCAATAATTATATAAACAAGAAACTAAACTTTGACCAGTTTATGTTGATGGCCACTGGAGTCGAATCTTGATATCTTTTTCAACTAATACTTATTATCGCACTACATATTAAATACCACTACTTAAAGTATCATTATAATTACGTTTTAAATAGATAAAATTTCCCAAATTCTGACGAAAAAAACGTGTAATTTTTCCCAACTAAATCTATACTTATAAATTTAACATTACACATAAACATATTTTTTAATAATCCGTTGGTAGATCGATTAATCGTTTTTTTTTTTTTTTTTTTTTTTTTTTTTTTTTTTTTTTTTTTTTTTATAAATCAGTTGAATCCTTCAGGTTTGAAGGGAAAATTTGCATTAGTCTGAACAGTAAGATAGAATTATTAATTCAAGAAAGTTGCGAGAAAAATTAGAAAAACCATCCCACTTCAAAAGCTGCGATAGTTTTTCTACGTTTTTTTAGTTAGACTGCTTGCTTTTATTAAAAATGTACCTAAACGTTCCTTCAATATTAAGATTAATTTTTCACACAAATTTTAGGCTCTTGTTAACAATTATTCAGTTTTAACAGTGCGTACACCAAAATGCATCTTTTCATACAGAGTCGATAATGATTTTCGTCGCAAAAATCCAAATATGTATACTTTTGAAGGTTTTTCATTGACTTTAATGTCAAGTTTTCTTCTTTAACGAAAAATCGACATAAAAATAACAATGCATTCAACAAAAATGTTGATTTTCAACGAGAGGAATAAAACTAAGGGGTATTTTTTTTTTCCTCGCAAGACATCGAGAAACAACAATGTTTTTCTTCGGAAAAACTCAAATGAGTTGAATACATATTCATCTGAAGTGAAAAAACACCTTGTTCTAAAAAATGACCGCAATCTGTCCACCGTAGAAGAATCGATTTCTCTAGAAATAAAATTAAAAAAAAAATCTATTATCCCTCCAGAACACATTTATTACTGATAAGAAGTATAAGCGTAGATAGCACAGGGAAGCGTCACTTTTACATGGACATATATATAGTATGGCTAGGAGGGAGGTACAAAGAACAAAAGATGAGTCAATAGAGCGAACAAACTCTCACTTGGCGAGGTTCGAGTGGAAGTTGAGTTAAAGTAGCTGACAAATCAACTTCGTCCACGCGTTCCCTCTAAACGAACAAACGTCGCGGAGCGCGCACATATACGAACGTTGTTATCAAAGAGAACGACATTTGTATATATACATATATCCCCTCTCTCTTCGAGCATGTGTTGGAAGAAGAGTCGAGGATAAACGAAGAGAACTTGTGCCGCGGTTCGGTTCCTCACTGCAGAGTCACGGGAGTGTTGTTTCACCTAATACAACTTACTGAGCTTACCGAAGTTGTACATAGGTACCTACCTACCATCCTGCAGCGCAGTGTGTGTCAATCCTTGTGCCCCACTGTAACTTTGCTTCGTGTATGTATATCTGTATAGATACGAAAGTAGAGACAAAATTAAAGAAAACACTCCATCTCGGTGTGGCTTTGACGCAAATACCTACGGCTGCGCGAGCTTTGGAAGAGCGCGACACGTACGAGAGTAGTACTTACTCATTCGATCACGATATACATTCGATTGCATTGGCAAAATCTATTAGTATAGTATTATACTGTGATCCACGTATAGGTATACCCGTTTGTTATCAGTCAACTTGGTAAGTGCGACAATTGACCATACTCCGCCTTTTCTCGTTCTTTTGCACAAGTCCGCCTCTTACTCTACCAGCTACATCATCTACATAATTATATGTTTATAATTTATATACGTTGACGCTGCCATCTTCTAATATGCGCATTCAAGTGTACCTATATACCACGTATATAAGTTTATGTGCTGTATATATAGTGCCAGTACTTGCATCCTTTTACTTCTACTCTTTCTATACATCCTCAATTCTCGGTCGCAAAAGTAGGTAGTTGTACTTTGTGTACGTATATACTTATACCTACCTGTATTAAAATGTAAATATATATATACATGGTTATAATACGTGGACAGGTGGACACGATAAAACTATCGCGCGTATATATATATATACATACTACCTGACTGCTGTCAAAACACTGCGTTTGACGTTTATTTCGGAGCCCTCTATTCATCGCGATTTCGAAGCAGCTGTCATTTTTACCTGTACTTAGTGTTTTTTTATGCGTTGTTTCGTTCGCGCGGAGGTGAGGAGGTACACGGGGATGTAAATAATTTTTTTTTTTTTTCCTCCTCTTCTCTGACATACTAAGTAAGTAGCTACAAAAAACTAGTTTGACGACTTGGTCTCCTTTAAAAGTGTAGTTTTGGCTTCAATGTGAATCTGATGTAAGGCGTTTACTTCGACAAGACATCGCGCGAGAAACGGCGTGGCTCCAGCTGAATCGCTAAAATAGTTTTCATATTGTAAGATTTGTCTATACGCGTACGATTATAGTTGTTTTTTTCTCCGAAAATTTCCAAAGTTTATTTCCTTCGTCAACGAGTAATTCCGTACTTCTTGTAGTGTATACATGTATAGCGTAGTGATGTAATATAGGTATAAAAAATGTCTCTCCAAGCAATTCCAAAACATGAGGTACTTCGAATAAATTTTCGAATTGCAAATGCATAATTTTAGTAACTTTTGTTATTCAAGTAATTTTACAAAACACAACGAACAATTTTCAAGAAGGGGGACAAGTGAAAATTTCGTATGTGGCCAATACGTAGGCACTTTATTGTTCACGCTTGTTTTGTACCTACAAGAAATTAAAAACTAATTATGAGTAAAATCTAATCGCTGTGTGTTGGCCATAGTATTTTTTCTAGATTTTAGAGAGAGGGAGAGAGCATAATATACTCTCTATACGTGTATGTAGGTAGTTGAATTTTATGCGCGTATATTTTCCGAAAAATTTCACGTTTCAAACGAGCAAAGTTAAAAATCCGTAAATGATTCATATGTTCGCGGGCCTGGGTATTGAGTATTGACACACAATACAATAGTATACGTCTTATCACTGTCACGAATATAACTTTTATCTTTAAAATTCTATGCGTGAACAAAAAATTGTTCTAGAACATTTTTCTCTTATCGAATGTTTTTTTAATTAGATTTTTTTTTCTTTTTCACCGGTAGACTAAAATTTATCTGTTTTCTTTTTTTCCAGAATTTGTTTGTGAAAACAATCAACGAAAGCTGCAACGATGAGCGACTCTGGAGAATTTAATCTGTGCGCCTGTATTCTGAGCCAAGTGAGTTCATATTTAATTTAATTATTCATTGAAAAAAAAAAATCCAAGTTATAATGTAAGCCATACAGAGCATTTGTTTAAAATTTACCGTGTGTTAATAATCAACGAAATGTAAACGTCTGAGAGAGTTTCGTAAATGTCTCACGATTTCGCAATATTGCCCTTAATTATATGCGCTTCCTGATTACACACATGAGTATTTTATTTAAATTACAAAAATTACACATGAAACTGGCTTGTTGTGCATCATTACTTGGATGTACGTACCAAAAAAAGTTCTTGGTAAAAATATCATTAATAACGTTATAAAAATAATCTTTTAAGTTACGAGCGACGGTATCACAAGAAATTTGCACGGAGACGGAATGTTACACACCGGACAGCCGTACGTGTTATTTTAACAATTTTTCAATACGTTGAAAAACTTGCGAAATTATTGCTTTATAATGTTTTCCTCTTTTCACGCCAACAGTGCCAGGTCCCGGCAATGATGCGCCAGTCGATCCCAATAATTTTATGATGTTCTTCATGGTAGCCATGATTGGCATGTTTTTGTACATGCTTAGACCAAAATCTCTTCGTATGATTGGTGGCAACGGCAAAGGTGCTGACAGCGATTCTGTGAGTTTTTGCAATAGTCGTTTGCAACGTAATTTTCTTTTAATTAAAACGGTGACATTGGATTATCATTTTCACGAATTTTTTTACAGGATTTCAGTGGAGAGCCACCGTTTCCACCACCGGCAGTCAATTAAGCAATAAACGTACACGCATATGGCACAGTCAAGCCGAAATGACTATTCTTGAATGCATCAGTAAATTATACTTGAAAAAACAATGTAGTCCTAATATTGATACATCATCTATTCCTTTTGTACATTGTGTTTGAAGAAAAAAAAAAAAATTCAGATACATTTTACAAAAGATAGGGGCCAAGATGTGTCTCCCTCTCTGTATAAAATAATATAACAGGCATGTAATCAATAGTTAGAAAAAGGATGCGGGTATCATAGTAATTCCACTTCAGAAAAGTTATTGTTTACTATTTTTAAGGAAATATATTTATAAAGAAAAATATGAGATATGTTATACTATAAATAAAATACCAAGTGTAATGAAATTATTAAAAAAAATTATCTTTAAAGCACAGTTGTAATTATGTGATATGGCAAAGTATTATATTATGATTAAGATGTTTTTGCGCTCTTATTTATAATTGTGTATTTTAATAGTGTGCTCTACCACATGGATTTGTAAGTTGAAATACCGTGTAAATAAGAAAATTAAGTGCAATATACATTGATGCAGTTATCAACATACTTTTCCTTTAATGAAAAACTATTATAAAATACTGAAACACGCAAGATAAAGTCTTTTAATTCTATGGATAAAAAACAATAATAAAGTTATATTTTTTAAATAATTTTTATTCATTTTTTTTTTTTTAAGTTAACACAATGTTTTTTTTAAAAGAAGTAAATCGTTTCAGACATCGTAATTTATCTTATTAAACTTACATAGTAAGATATTTCATGTTGTATTGTGTACGCAAAGAATATTTTTTTTTTTTTCACAATTAATGACTTACTTAATTAGAGTTCATCATTATAAAAAAAAATTTAACACTTATTTACAGGAATCAAAAGACTCTCCCTTATGTTTTTTGGTAACCTGCTTATCCTCTGAAGTGTCAGATGGTTTTTGTAACCTAGGTATCCTTTTATTTTTTAAGAATGCCATCGTATCCGCAGGTGATCTAAAAATTGAAAAAAAATAGTTACAATGAAAAATCAAATTCCAAACATAATCCATCAGTTAAAATCGCACTTCGTATTGGTCGGTGCTATTACTTCTTTCTGAACGTTCGTGGTCTCAGTCTGTTCTTCAGTAGGAGTTTGATTTGATATTTCGCTACTACTCTCTACCTTTTGCACTTGTGAAGTAGAATCATTCGATTTGTTTTCTGCTTCGGTTCTTCTTTCTTCAGTCTCAGCAGCTTTTGCTTCTTTTGTTTCGCTTTCAGGCTTTTGTCGTAATAGTCCATCTTGTGTTGGAAAAACTAATATAGGCAAAGAAAGAGGTTTCGTTCTCTTTGTGTTACCAACCAACTTTCTCAATAATATCGCTATTTCTTCTCTTTTTCTAGTAACAACAATTTCCTCGAACCAATTTTTAAGCGTTTTAATAGGCAGCTTATAGTCTGTTATAGGGGTCTATGATAAAACAATTAATCAGTATTACACCGAGTGTTTGTTGAAAATAAGAAACTAATAATAAATTAATGTATCTTTTTTTTTACCTTGAAAAAGCTTTCTACATATTGAAGGACATATAACCCACAATCAGTGAAATTCGATTGTTGGGGAACTTTTGGACAGGCACCTTTTATTGTATCCTTTGTGAACTCTTTCTCTGCTCCCATTTTTGCTTTGTATTCACAACTCAAGTAATCCCTTAAAGTTGCTACTACCCGTACTCTACTAGCTCCAGCTAAGGAATCAAATATCAATATACAAGGACTGAAAAAAGAAGAAATTTGAAATTAATAACATTTCATAAATTATGTTAACTTCCTGATAAAATACATACACTTTGTTTGTTTCGTCATTTTGTTGAGGAATTTCAGGACTCGGATTAGCCTGCTCACTATTTTCATTTGACACGGTATCATCCTTGAAATCGAAAATTTTTCATTCATTATGGGCTACAGTACAACTGAAAAAATAAAAATCAAATAATCTTTGATACTTACGTCGTCATCACTCTCTGACTCTATCTCATCCTCATCTCCTTCAGCTTCATCTCGCTCAGACCCATCATCATTTGGATCTAAAGTGATTGGCGTGATTGTCGTACTGCCAATTGTAAGGGCCTGCTGAGCTTTTGCATCCTTTTTCTTCTTCTCTGCCAACTTTTGACTTAAGGATTTAGTTTCTACTTTCTGTGTGACCTTACCAACTAAGCCAGGAAAACAAATGATTGCTAAAAACCAATGTGCGCTAGAAAATAAGAAAATGAATGTTTTAATTTGTATAATGTTAATACATTCCAACAGAAATACAACCAACTTACTGTTCGTTAATGGGAATGACAACAAAATCTTTCTCAAATATATTGACATTTTTTGTCCATTTTTGGACCCTTGCGTGACGTCTGGCTGCAGCTGAAACATTTTCCGTGTTTCCTCCAACTTGAGAATGAGGACTTGTTAAGCGCTTATAAAAATATGAACTAAATACGTGAGTTCGATCGTGGTCACTATTAGAAAATACTTCCAACATTAAATATTTAAGGTAGAAATCTATGATAACGTCGTTTAAAAATTGATCTTCCGCTAGACATATAAAATCTTCGGTGTTGATTGCTATTCCTCCTTTCGCCGGTGGAGGAGGATAAACAGTAATACTGCAAAGCAAACAAAAAAATTTTTGAAGCTATTTTAACAAATGATTGTAAAACAGAATAACTTACTTTTGTATTTCTCCATTTAAAGTGATACCAGTAGAAGTTGTTGATTTTTTCGTTTCATTTCGAGTTTGTACATGAGGTTTTGTAAAACTAGTCTTTAAAAATACATTATAAATATTAATACAAACATGATTATATGAATTTGCTCATGAAAAATAGGAAGACAAATAGTTACCGATTTAGGAGATGCTTTGACGAGAATGTCATTAGCTTCTTTCGTATTTAATTCAACAAATATAGATTGATACATTTGTTTAAGTAGAGCTTTAGAATCATCAGAAATTTTTTCAGGAAGAAGAGTTATTCTTTTATGCGTTTGGTCTGCAAAAAGAAAACGACTTTTAATAACATCAACCATGGACTATTTTCATAAAATAATTTATACTAGTTGCATTATTACCTTTACTAGCAGGGTCAAAGTATGGACCTTTAGGATCTTGCATTCCTAAAACACCTCTTATCCTTAATCCAGTGACAACATCTGGATAAAAAAATAAGACAGGCATTGATTTATTGAAATGGATCAACGCTGCGATCAAGTCTTCAATTTTAATGTCAACTATGATGAAATTTTTATCTGCAACAATTGTAAGAATTAACAAAATTACTTGAAAATTTTAATTGCATCAATTGATGATTTGGAAAATTTACCATCTTCTATCAATGGAACTTTAAGTTTTAAGCCATTAGAAGTCAATTCTACTTGTTCATCGGGAACATATTTGTAAGATCCTATCCTGACTGTTCTACAATTTAAAAATGTACTAGACTGGTTTGCAGTATCTGCATCATCATTGGCTGCCATCATACTTTCTTTGTTCATTTTAAATAATTTCAAAGTTGACAAAGTTTTGGCAGTTATAACGGGTTCTTTGTCTGTTATAGTATCGCATTCATCAGTATTCATCGAGTTTACTAAATTCGACGTATCTTTAGTGCCGTCTTGATGTTTTTGTTTGATACTGTCTTCTTCATCATCCGAAGATATGGTCAAACATTCTGGGAAAATTAAACAGACGATAAAAATGTATTCGTAAGAAACAATTGTGTCCAAACCATTTTACATACCTGGTTCTTTCATCTGCCTTGCAGCCCGCGGTAAATTACCTCGACCTCTACCTCCCCTTCCTCTTTTTGCAACAGCTTCCTGATTAGGTTTAACATTGCCATCAGCTTTTTTATAAAACGTCTAAAAATTAATAACATCATGATGACATTTAGACAAAGTAACATTTTACAGTAAAATGGTACATTATCCCAACACGACAAGTTAAAAAAGTTAAAATTATCTCACGCCAAAGTAAAAAAAAAAAAAATTTGAAAAACTCCTTACGTCAACAGATAACCCGCTACTGTCCTTTTTAGATGTAGCATTTGCAGATATAGGGATAGATTTTACGTTCTCTGGTAGTTTTCTTTTACATCTTAGACACGCGTAGAAATCTGCTGCACTCATTCCACAATATGGACACACAGCCAGCATTCCTGAGATATACTTGGGTAGCTATGTTTACACAAAAATTATATGAAATTTACTTATTTTTTTCTTTGTCAACATTTTTGTTTAAAATTATAAATGAGGAATTCCAAGATTACGATTTTAAAAAATATTAACAGAAATAAAATGGATTTCAGAATTTCTACATAAAATTTTAATTGACAGATAACGGTAATAAAAAAAATAAATTAAAAAAAATGTAACAAAAGTTGAATGTATGCCAAATAATTCAAACTGCATTGCAAAAATTTAATCGTCGACTTAAACATATGATAAAGTTATTGCTAATAAGTTTATTTATTTTTTTTATTATGGAAAAAAAACTACTTTAAATACGTGTCAATTAGTAAAACTTGTCATGTTGAAGATATGTAGAGCAGTTCCTATTACACATCTGTTAATACTTATAAATTACGTGAAATAATTTTTTATTACATTTTCCAAATCATACGGTTCTTACAACTAAACGAATTTCGAAGTATTACAAAAATTTACGGAATAAATCACGCTATTGCATTTATCATTAAATTTATGATGTAAATTATAAGAATCACTCTAAAAACTTAATTACTTACATGCAAAGTAGAAGCCAAACATAATATAAAATAGTCAGACAAACTATTCGTAACGGTGTAACTTGCCACTTATTGCTACTTATTTTTCTTTGCTGAGGTAAAAAATTAAGTAGCAACACTTGGTAATGTATGGCAACATGAATAAAGCCTTAGGTTGAAAATGTAATTTACACCAAAAATAAACAATTAATTTATGTGTGGTTGCACTTTTTACTACAGTACAACAGGTAAACAATTTGAGTTGTAATATTTAAATTAAAAAAAAAACTTACTAGTTTTTGAATAAACATATTAAAATAATAATAAAAGGTTTAATAAAGAAAAATACGTACTGCTCTGGATGATGAGGCAAGTGGAGGTGGATTTGCATTATTTTTAACTCTGAAAAAAAAATATATATAAGTATAATCGTTACTACGTACATTGACCACAACTGAAAGGTAAATAAACTTACGGCGTCTTTGGTGGCTCTGCGACAGTCGTTGTAACAGACGATGCATCACTAGAAGCGCTTTCAAGTTGCTGATCTTCTTCAAAGCTGGATCCTTTAGTGACATCAACTATATAGTTAATACCGAGAGCTGGATCGGAAACCAAAGACACACGAGGTTCTTGAGAGGACAGAATATTTGCCTGCGAATAATATGAAAATTAGTACACTAGCGGAAATATCAGAAAAAGCAAAGATAAGAACAAAAACAAAAAAGAAAAAAAAGCTGAAGAAACGGATTTACTACTTGTTCTAGCAGGTCTTGAACAGTACAGTCTTCTTTGGGCACTTCAAATGTAATCAACCTTTGTTCGCCATTTTCAAGTATCACGAGCATTTTGGCTTCATTACCCACAATCTGTTGCTGCACAATTGCAGTGGTAGGATCATCTACTTCCTGTTGCAAGTAAGCTACACTTTCACTAGAGTTTTCTTCCGATTCAGATTTAGAACTGTTTAGCTGACTAAGTCTTTCCATGTGCTCATTAGCTTCAGTTGAGTCAACTTCCATAGGTTCTTCAACATCCGGTACTGCCACTGCAGCAGTATGTACATGGCGATGGAGCTGCTGCATAGACGGCATCGTTGCAACTGGTGGTGTTTGCCGTTGCATCAAGTGCTGCTGCTGTTGTAGCATTTGCTGTTGCTGCTGTAGCTGGTGTTGATGCTGCAGCTGAAGTTGCTGCTGCTGCTGCTGTTGTTGTTGTTGTTGTTGTTGTTGTTGTTGTTGTTGCTGCTGCTGCTGCAGCTGTTGTTGTTGCTGCTGCTGCTGCTGATGATGTTGCTGCTGCTGCTGTTGTCTGCTACCTATGAAGTTACCCATGGCGCGCTGTTGCTGTTGCTGGTGCAGCTGTCGATGAACGGTTGCTTGGGAAGATTGAACCAATCTTGTTGTGGGGGCCACTACCATAACAGGCGGTGATTGCTTTTGCTGATGCAACCGCTCGATCGGCTGCTGCCGCTCAATCTGCTGCGACCGCTTTTGAGTTTGGCGAATTCTCTCGCTAAGACTGGACAGTGGCTCCTGTGTTTGCGCTAGTCCTGCGTTTCTTACGTTGGCAGGTTGAGAGTTACGTTGATGCGCTTCGGGATGAATAGATGGTCGCACCTGTGGTCCTCGTGGAGTAGTTACTAATGTACCTGGAGTTACAGTTGCCCCAACACCTGTTGATGCTCTTGGACGTGCGGTCACTGCTACATTTGGACTATTTGCAACGTTTGAGGCACGTCTCATCTTACCTACTTTCGCTGCTTGGGTATTTGTGCTGCGCACAATTCCTTTGGCTGATGTGACTCCAGCAACTTGTTTATTCAATGGAACCAGTCGAGTTGGTTTTCTATCAGATCCTTGTACAACTAGGCTTCTCGATCCGACCGGTACCTAACGGAAAAAATTATTTTTAATGTATCCATTATGTCTTCAAAATAAGAACCGATTTATTATTGTTATCATCAATATATACCGATGTCGAGGGCTGCAGAGACCTCACTACATTTGCTACTTCAGATTTCACGGGAGTTGAATCTTTCTTAATAACTAACTCAATAGAATCACTGTTTGAGAATTGAGCTGGAGCATAGCAAAAATTTATTTGATCCTTAACTTCTGCAACACAAAATATGAATATAATATTAAAAAAGAAATAATTTTTTTATACATGTAATTTGATGTAGCTCGATATTGACCTTGGCTATTACTACTTTGCGCAGAGCTGGATTCTACTTTAGTAAATATACTTTGTTGAATCGGTTCATCATTTGTTTTGATTATATATACACTAGGTCTGAAATGAAAAAGTTAATTTACTATTATTCAACTAATGAACAGTAAAATATAAAATTAATCACTTGTAAAGGGATATGAGTAATAAAAAATCTAATGAAAGTTAGTTATGAAGTGTAAAGAGTGAAATGGCAATACAATAATTTATAATACAAAAAGTTAAAAATACAATAGCACGAGAGCTTAGAAGAGCACAAATTAAATTAAAATACTATAAGGGAAGTTTAAATTGTATTGATTTCAAAAGAGAATTACTAATGTACTATCAAGCAATATAAAATTACCGTGTTTCTAACTGAGCTGTAGCAACACGAGTTCCAAAATTAAGTTGTGAAAACAATTCACTGTTATCAGTTGTGTACAAAATTGGTTGTTGTACTACATTAGAACCATTATTAACATCTTCGATAACAAATTGGACGCTTTGTCCATCGATTGAACAAAATTGTTGAACATCCTCAATCGTGTACGTGCCATTTGCATTGGTCACAACATTATAAAATTGTGCCATAGTATACAATACTCAGCTCAATTTTGTTGTAAGCAATTTTGCGTGTTACACTTGAATTAGTGTTAGTAGGAAATTGTTGCTGTCGAGAGAATGTCGAAATACAGGAGTCCATTTAAAGCATCACCTTCTGGTCTGGATGTCTGCAATCTTAACCTACTAACAAAAAAAAATCATAATAAATTACACTCCAAGATGCAATACTCAATTGATTTCAATTGTTCATTTAAAAGTAAAAATTTCATATTCTGTTTTCAAATACATTCTAACAGCAACAATATCCTAGTTGAATGTGTTATTTACATGAATTTAAATGATTGAAAGTACAAGGTTTCTTGATAAGATACTTTCATACAAATTGTGTTTGCCAACAAAGAAAATTTTTTGTTTTTTCGATTAAATGGAAAGGACCATGAGTATTTCATCAAACGAGTGACCAAGCATACATGTAACAAAAAAAAAAAAAAAAAAAAAAAAAAAAAAAAAAAANAAAAAAAAAAAAAAAAAAAAAAAAAAAAAAAAAAAAAAAAAAAGAGAATTTAGTTTTCTTGCTTACATGTTCCAAAATCAAGTCAGTCTCTAGAAGACTGTCATAGCTCGTTCAAATAGATTAAAAAAAAAAAAAATCCAAAGCTGACAGCTAGAGTACATCAAAGAAGTACTTATGCACCAGGATACTCGAATATATTATCAAAATAGCGTAATCTTCGTCATCTTCTCCTTGGTAGTATGTACACACACTTGCAGCAAATCTCAAGATTACACGGGGCCTCACGGTGTGAAGCTCCAAGAGGTTGATGGCATGGAGCGAGGAAGGCCGAAGGAGCAGATCCAGGAGTAACGCTCAGATTTCGCGAGGACAGGCGATAAGAGTGACAACAGTACTAGCAGCCGCAGGGCCCGACGACGACGGCATAACCTTACACAGTGAACGCGCGCGTGAACAATTTCTGACAAAACACAAGAAGAAGCCGCGCCGCTAGAGCCTTCCATGCAACTCGCGCGCGCGTCCCACGGTTGACGGTTCGTGGGTACCTAATACACAAGCGTATACGTGTCTCGTTTCTTGGCGACAGACAGCGATGATACCCCACGTCCTTGACAAAGGGAGGAGACAAGGCAAGCGGAGGGACAAGATGATGCTGCTGGAACAACGACGGCTAAGCTACCTGAGGCATGGCACAGTGTGTATACACGCACTAGCGCGAACGACAGCAATAAAAAAGGAGAGGAGCCGCGGGGAGAGATTATCGGCACCGCCGGACCAGTGACCACTGCGAAATATATTGCTCCTCATCCGCGCGTAGATGTATATATGTATATGGCTGTTCGCGACTTTTTTTCGTTCGTGAAAGAGATTCCTTCCTGCTCTCTCTACTACATAGGGCCCTTTACTTTTCCTCCCTGGTGTGTTATCCCAAACGGTTAGGGTGTAACGATGACGACGTACCGGGAGAAGGCCTCTTTAACTGTAGTTTTTTTGCACTGACTCTCGTCTCGTATTTAGGTACTCGGGCTTCTCGGAGCACAAATTTATACATGTATGACCGTAAATATATACACTAGAATCTAGATACTAACACAACTGATGTGGTACTCAATAAGTAGTCAATATTTTACTGTTACTGTATTAGTATTAGCTTTGCACACATAACAACAGTGGTTGGTTCGGAGTTCGGATTTCGGATACTTCGGATTGTAGTACATACCTATTGCACTTTGTATATGTATATTCACTATATATGAATGGCAAGAATCAAAAGTGACGGCATCTCATGAAACCAAATCACACGAGTGTGTAGCAAATAGGTATACATGCATTAAACAATTTTGATGAATTATTCGAACAAAGCATGAATTAAGTTCCCTCTCTGAGGTTTGGAACCAGCGGTTCTTTTTCTCCCTTTCCCTCTTCGTCACTTGCAACATGTATGTCTCTGAGCTAACATATTTATAATGTGAGCAAATGTTTTTCTCATCGCAAAATTCATTGTATTGCATTGCTTCATTTGTATGAATAATGATGGGTGAAAAATCAAAAACAGAATAAGTTGTTTTAAATCGATAATTTTCAGTACTACCGCATCTACACGTAGCGACAGTATTTCTATTCAATCGATTGAACAATGACGTTGGTGGTTGGTGCCATTAAATCAATTTATATCACTTGAATAACCACAAGAAGCGAAGTATATAAGTAGTACGAATAGTTCTACCGCACACGTTTTACCACAAGGGCCAAATACCATTGGCCCTAATTTTCTTACGAACAATTTTTTGCGCGCGCAGATAATAAAAAAATTCAAAATATCTATGTAATCCAATTAAAAAAATCTATGATTATCAAAAAAATCACCGTAGGGATGGATATTGTCATGCAAATGATGCTGTAGCCTACAAAACATCAAACATTTATGTACTTATAGGTAGGTATACGTTTGGAATTTCGACGGGTGATCGTGATGCGAAAGCGAAGAGGCAGCGCAAAAAACCAGAAAAAACGTCCTTCTGTTCCTTTAATGGCCTCTCTGTCACAGTGTCTATTCTCCGATGGTAAAATTATCCCCTTGTGCAGTACTTTCATGAACATTGGGCCCATTGGGTTGTTGTTGCGGATGCGCCCTAAAGAAACGATTTAGGTGTTTCTCTAGGGTAAAATATTGATGTAACGCATTATTTAAATGATATACATGCGCATCTACAGGTTATTTATACAATTGCGTAATTGTCGTGTATCAAGAATTGATAAAAAATAAAATGTCCAAACGGTTATAAAGATCAAGTCACGTGACCTGCGATTCGAACGAGCGATTGGACGGTGGAAATGATTTCAAGTTTCGGACCTGAAAATTCAAATTTTTCAACGCTTATTCGGCAACGTCAACTGTCTCGTGTACGCGATAAGTACAACGAAGCAGTGGCATTCACTTCACGAGACTGATATTGTTCGTACTTATACGTGCATGTATATACGCGGTAAAAGGGTTTTTCAGAGAGAAAAAACCACGACTGGTTCTCATTCTGCAAGGGAAAGAAAAATGCCGGCAATCGGCACAGCGTGAGATCAAGGAAGAGAAAAGTAGCTAAGAGTGGATGCTCGGCGTCATCGACGGCGTGTCGTTGTTTTCGTGTAACGTTAAAGGCGGCACAATCCCCACGATTGAGTATCGGCGCGCCCCATCGTTTGGTAAGTTTTTATTTTTTTACGCTATTTTTTTACATACTTCATGTGCACGTGTTTATCGTAGTTTGAGGTGTTTGTGTCAAAAATGTTGAAATAAACAGGCGATGTTTACGTAAAATGTGTATGTCGTGGATACGTAACGCGTGCGTGGTGACTCGATTTTATTTGTTTATTTCATTTTTTCATTAGTATGTGTGTACACATATGTATGTTAAAGTTGATCACGACATCATACTGTCATATTATTAATTCATAATCACAGTTTTAGATTGATAATATTGACTAACAATTTACTCACGACTCAAGACATTGCACAATTGTATTCATGGTATGTGGTTTCATTTATGTGTTTTATCTCAAATTTTCGAGTCTGAAATCATTAAGTTACTCTTGTTCTTTTGTTAGATGCAATCACGTCTTCCGAAATTGAACTTTCAATTTAAAGTGCCTGCTAGAACCATGACTGGCAATTCAACTACTACTTCAAGTGCTTCAAATGGCATGGAAGCCACTAGTAGTACTACATCAGTCAATAGCTCAGCTGCAACGAAAAATATGAGTACTACAAGTGTAACTACAAAAGCAGCTGATGAAAATAAAGCACCTGTCACTAGATCAAAGGTCACAACAACAAAGACGACGACGACTACCTTGTCAAGGACGCTTGGGGCACCCACGACAAGAGGAGCTCAAAAAAGGCCGGGCCTTGCTAATAACACTGTAGTGGATCCAAAAAGACCAAATCTTAGAACAACGATGAAACCAACAGCCAGACCAATCAGGCCTGCAACCAGTACTGTTGGCCCACTTGCTAAAACTGTCCCATCAGCTACACCAGCCAGTGCAAAGCCATCAGGCTCTAAGCCCAACAAATGGGATTTCAAGGGTAGATTGGAGTGGACCAGTAATGAGCTGACAGCCTTAAAACAGAAGCATAGAGATGTGACAATGCAATATAATAGTATTCAAGATGAAATTGTTAGTTTAAGAAAAAGTGAAAGTACCAATAGGTCTAAAGCTGAGAAGCTAGAAAAAAGTGCTGGTGAATTGCGTAAACAAGTTGATGTGCTAAAGGCGAAAGTTGATGAGCTTCAAAAGGAGAACGACGTTTTAACTAAAGACTTGAACAAAACCAAGGACGAGTATGAGAAAACGTTTTCAAAACTGGGAGAGTATGAAACGGATATAAAAGTCAAGTCAGTTTTAATCACGGATCAGCAAAAAGAGTTAACGGAATGGAAAGAAAAGTTTGAATCTAAAGTGAAGGAGAATGAAGAATTGGATGGATTAGTTCAAACCTTGGATAGAGAAAGGAGATACTTGCATAATACTATTCAAGAAATGAAAGGAAATATTCGAGTATTTTGCAGGGTTAGACCAAAAATTCCAAAAGAAGCGTCAAAAAGGTGGGTAGTGGTTTATTTTCTATTGATACAATAATTCTTTTAATAAATAGTAACTATTTGAAAACATTTTTAGCCTGTGTAATATCAATTATCTTGATGAGTGCACACTTGAAGTTGGACGAGGAGAAGGGGATACAAGTAAGATGAAGACTCAACGCCAGGAGTTCACCTTTGATAAAGTTTTTCCACCAAACACCTGTCAAGCAGATATCTTTGAGGAGTTATCTATGCTTGTGCAGTCGGCTCTTGAGGGCTACAATGTTTGTGTCTTTGCATATGGACAAACTGGCTCAGGCAAAACTTATACAATGGAAGGATTACCTGGCACGGAACAAGAGGGCATGATCCCCAGAACAGTGAGCATCAACAAATTATCTTAATACTTTACATGTACACACATTTAACACATGTTATTTTTATTTTTAGGTGAAACACATCTTTAGAGAAATGAAGCACTTTGAATTGCTTGGCTGGGAATATAAAATTGAAGCTAGTTTTTTGGAAATCTACAACGAGCAAATTGTTGATCTCCTTGATAACAGTCGAAAAACACATGAAATCAGAATGGCTGATAACAAAGGGCACGATTTGTATGTCAGCAACCTTTTAATTCAGGAAATTAACAGCCCTGAAGAGCTAAACCAATGCCTTCTCATAGCACAGCAAAATCGCGCTATGGCAGCGACGCAGTCTAATGAAAGGTGCGCTTCTGTGTAATTATCATTATTTTCTTTAAGGTCTTTGTAAATTACTACATTGAATCTTCTGTTTCAGATCTTCGCGATCTCATTCTGTTGCGAGAATACGTTTAATCGGTACGCACAAGTCGAAACAGGAAGTTTCCATCGGTAATTTGAACTTGGTTGATTTGGCTGGATCTGAAAGACTTAAAAATGAAGAAGCTGCGCGAGTTGCTGAAACAAAAAATATCAACAAGTCATTGGCTAACTTGGGACACGTTATCCTCGCATTGCTTCAAAAACAAGACCACATTCCCTATCGAAACTCGAAACTTACGCATTTGCTTATGCCTTCTTTGGGAGGCAATTCAAAAACACTTATGCTCTTAAATATTTCACCTCTTGATGATTCTTACAACGAGACTGTGAATTCTTTGAGGTTTGGCAGTAACGTCAATAGTTGTAAAACAGGTACCGTTAAAAAAGTAAAGACGGTTTTGTAAATTAAGTTCAAACAATCTAGCATTGAAAGTGTACAAAGAATATTATCAGCAAGACCAAAGTCTTTTTGAGACTACCGTCCTTTTTCAACTTTGAATAATAAAATAGTTTTGAAAAAAGGAAGGTTCGCAATTTTTATGCTATGAAGTTATGATATTGCTAGTATAAATTATTGTTTCTACTCTTATGAAAAAAATAACTCGTAAGTTTAGTACTCTCTAAGTTTTTACTTTCGACTTATATAGAAATTCCTTATAACTAATGCACTATCAGTAAACTTCGGTTACTCTGTTTGTTTGTCTAAGATAATGTATAAAGTGAATTATAATTTGATGAAGTTCAAAAGTATAACCTTCACTGACATGTTTTTTTTTATTTAATATGATGCTTATTAATGTCAAAATAAGAAATGTATGTAATTTTTAAAAGTTCCAAATTTTAATACAAAAAATATTGCAGAAATTGTATCTGCACACATAAATACACTAAATACTTTCTTACAAACTCCCGAATTACTGTTCCTATGTACAATCACATCCATACAATATACATTGTTTTCCAGTAAAATTCAAGAGATAATGGATGTTCTATGGTTTAAAAAATGTTTAGTTTTTTCCGTGAAGAAGAGATAATAAAAAAACAGAAATTTTAATTTCGAAAAACTGTCACGATAAAATTTCATGTTAGTCGCAACAATAGAAACAATATGCCTTGTTCATATATTACACTTTTTTTCACCTGAAATGAGAATTTCATTTCATTCGTTATGCAGATCAGATAACGTCCTTCGAACTTTTTGAAGTAATTCTGTCATCTGGTCGTATTTACCAGTAGAATCTGGCAAGTTTTCAAAGTTAATAACATCACAAATGTTTTTCGAAAACTTCTCTGAAGTGGGTAACCTTCTGTAAGGCGAACAACTTTGTAAAATAGGAGTGCCTATGTGCACTGACTTGACCGACTTGTGTCCAGAGCCAGTTACTGGACTTGCTTTTGGAGTTTCGCACTTGATACTTGATGTATTCAGACTGCCGGGTTGCGAGGAATCTGGGTTAGGATCTTCAATTTTCGATGAATCTAGATTTGCGTTTTCAATTGACGAGTCTACTGCAGGTTCAGCAATTTTTTCAGGAACTGGATTTGGTTGAGGACTCGAGTCGTTTAGTGCAGCCAACAATTGCTTTTTAGCACATTCCAAATCAAACAATGTCGGCGAATCTGTTCCGGATGATGGCGCGTTACTTTCGCTCTGTAAAATAAAAATGAATTTTTCTGTCAATAAATATTTGAAGGGTAAAAATATTCTACATAAACATTTAGTTTAAACATTAAATTTACATTGGAGGTATCCTCTTGTGATCGACTATCATTATCTTCTGGTGGAGGTGGAGGTGGAAATTCTGAACCATCTTCTTTGGGTAAAGGAGGTACAAACAGATCTTTAACAGGTACGCTTTCAACTGGAGTTTCTGAAAAAAAATGATTGTTATAAAAAACTGCAACGATTGGTTTTGAGTAAGTTTTTTTAGTAAAACACATTTCAGTCACCTTCAACTGACTCAATTTCCATTTCTCCTGGATTAATGTTGCCTTGGGGCTTGAAACTAGCTGGATTAGGAAATTTTTTTCTTTTGTAACCATCGTCAGTTTTTTTATGGCTCAATTGAGCCTTCATAGTTTCTTTACTGAAATTGAGCTGCTCTATTGATCCCCAATAATGCATATATTCCTGTAAAATTCATCAGTCGAGCATTCATGTAGTAACTTGTTAATTCTTCTTTCAAATAATAGGAAAATACTTACATCTTTTGTGCCTTCAAGAAGGGGAACATTAAATCCAGGAAAATCTATGATTTTCTTGATGTCATACTGATCTTTGTCTCCTGGGCTTACAATTTCACCTTCATCTAAATTTTGATCTGCGACTCCATTGGAATTAAATAAGCTCAGACCGGAATGCTGTAACCTTGCTTCTTCTAACCATCCTGGGGGATAACCAAGCATTCTCATCCTAAAAAAATTATTGTATTTTTATGATAGTGTGAGATTTCTTATGAATCCATGAATGTATAAATTTACCTGTAGATATATCTAGGAAGCTCATTATCTTTTATACCCAAAGCCTTGCGCAATTTTGGAGTCACTTGACCTGGTACAAAATGTCCAAACTTTTGATCCTCATCTGTGTGATATCTGGCGTTTGATGGCACTCTTCTGACATTATAGTAATCTTTTCTATTTTTAGTTATTTCATTGTAATTACGAGGCTTTGGACAATCTCTCATGCTGTGATTTCCTAAGCAGTTGAAGCATGTCATTTTTGGGGCAGAATTCTCATTTTTTTCTTCAGTAGCTTTTGCTGTTCCCTTTTCTAGAGTTTTACTAAATTTCTGAGAAAAAATAAAAAGTGAGTGAAAATAATACTTGGCAAATTACTTTCATATTCAAAGCATATACCTTTCCATAAGCAGGAACATCAAATTCTTTCGTGGCATTAGGCTCTGAATCAAGAGTAAAGTAAAAATCAATCGGTGGTTTTTCTGCTGGACCTTCTACTGGTAAATCATTGGGAGTTTCGTCCGAGTCAAATATTTCAATTGCCAAATCCTTGGCAGAAGATTCATCTTTATCATACCGGCTTTCTAGCAAGTCTTTCAAGAAATCTTTGATTTGTTCATGATAATTCCTACAAAGTTGAAATATATTTTCAATCACAAAGGTAAAAATTTATATTCTACCATACAGCACAAATTATAAAACATATTATAAAGCTGTAGGGTAAGCTAAACAAGACCAGCCCAAAAAAAGCATGGTTCCACACAATTAAAAAGCTAGAGATACAAAATGTGTCATCTTACTGAAAAGCCTCGGGGTCACGAAAGGTGATCCTGAAAATAGGAGCAACCTCGGGTTCAGTCGAGGTTTTGGTAATTTCCTCGTCAACGATAAGAAAGCCCTCAGGTGCGACTCCAGGAGGCAGGGTGGCGTCGAAGGAGACGACAGTCTCGTTGGCGATCGACAGGTTAGGAACATTCTCTCGGATCTCTTTGATCACCTGGACATCCGCACTGCTGTCCAGCAGGCTATTGTCGACTTCGCTGTCGTCCAGCGTTATCACTTCCATCGTCTCCTCGAAACTCATTTTTTCATTGGACTGCGCTTCCGATTATTAAGTTACGTACGATACCTCCCTCAAGTCCCAAGTATCTCATTGAAATCGCGCTATAAATATTTGGTGTGTAGGTACTTAGGCCAAGCGTATACCTATACATATATTTTTTTTGTTTGGGCTACGATATTAAGCTTCGTTTTTATGAGAATAAACGTATTATTTTATAAAAATAATTAATTTTATAGATTTTCCTATAATCGTACGAAAAAATTATAAACTTTTTTCTGTATTGAATGCATGTAATGACAAGTTTCATTAATTCTCAAGATTGCGGAGCAATTAACCAATGTGTGTTTTATAAACCAGCCCTAATGAAAGAGCAACGAAGGGAGGGGATGTTTCTCTCACTTTTTTGGAGCAGCCACCGCATACTGAAGTACTTGAGGATTGTTTACACACAAAATTTTTTTTTTCCGGCACTTATCAAAACTCTGGAAACTATTTTCGGCGTGCATTTTGCGGACAAACCAAACGGGCAACTATACCATAAAGTGTTTTGCAGCAAAGGTAACCGGTTGGTGAGTAATAATTTTATTTTTGATATTCTTGAATTCTGTCTGCTTAACCTGCCACTTCCTCTCAACGCGGCTTCGAATTTCATATAAAAAAAAAAAAAAAAAAAAAAAAAAAAAATCGATAGATACCTTATACACATTAAGTACTTCGAAGATGTCGGATATGGAGGTTTCCGATGTGCAAAAGGATATATTCGAGAAAATCGAACTTAACAAGGCTGACGAGCTCCGAGCTTTGCTGGCTGCCAACAAAATTAAAACCGAATTTACTGATGAAAATGGCATGAGCCCGCTCCAGCATGCCTGCTACAAGGGCAACAAGGACATTGTGCAAATGTTACTGGATCACGTAAGTTGTGAAAAAAGATACGCTAATTAAGTATGATTTATTTGGTTTTTTTGGAAATGAATGTTTGATTGTTTCAAGGGAGCCGATCCAAACAAATGCGAGCACGAGCACAAGTACACGGCTCTGCACTTTGCTGCTCTGAGCGGCAATGCTGATCTATGTCATTTGTTAATGGCTTACGGAGCTAAAGTTAATGCGCTCAATAGTGTGGGCAGAACTGCGGCTCAGATGGCTGCATTTGTAGGGAACCATAATTGCGTTGTTGTGATCAATAACTTTATACCAAAGGCAGATGTGGACTACTACATCAAAGCTCAGGGCTTGCAGAAAGAACCAATGTTGCATCCACACCTGGCAGATTCTTTCCATTTGTTTATTATGCAAGTCAATGTCCACCCAATCAGAGTTATCATGAATTTACAAAAGTTTCCTGGTCTATTGGATAATTTGTCAATGGTTGGTTGTATGTATAAGCACAAATTTTATTTTGTTTTTCGTTTTTACCAATGAATTTGTGTATGATTTTAGATTCAAAAAGTTCTTGAAACTATGTGCCACAAAGAAATGACCAAAGGTCCAGAGACGAATGAAATTATGGCTTTCAAATATCATTACCTCGGCTGTGTCGTAGGTGAAGTAATTAGATTTAAAAATCGTCAAGAAACAATGAAAACTAGTAAAGCTGAGGATGAAAGAATGGTAGAAGACCACACGGAAGACAAATCTGATGAGAAAAAGGCTGATGTCGTAGAATTGCTGGTCAAAAAGTTATTAAAGTGTAAAAGTAATGGATCCTACGATTATCAGGAGCAATTTTTAAAAGACATAGTTCGGGAGTTCAACTACAGGGATAGTGCCATTTTTAGACAGATGGTCGCAACATTGGCCAGTTCAAGTCCTCCTAGTGCAGTTTCCGTCATTGCTGCAGCCATAAACGGTCAGAGAGCTTTTAATGATAGTGCGCAAATATGTGCAACTTGCGGAGAAGAGAAAGCAACAAAAAAATGCAGCAGATGCAAAACGGTTCAATACTGCGACAGAGAATGTCAAAGAGTGCACTGGTTTTTGCACAAAAGAGCTTGTAATCGTTTAAGCCAGTCTAACAGTTCTCAAGAAAAAATACCTGACGAAATAGACAGTAGACAAATCAGCACAGATGTTACTTCTAGACTTGAGCAAATGCACGTTAGTTAATTTTTACTTGAATGCTTCTGTATTTATAGCTGTTGTGAAATTTATGTATTTCATTTGTTGTGTTATGTATATTTATTTTACACTTACGAAACTGACATTTTCCGTTTATGTTATTGTTTTAAAAAGGAAAAGTATAATTTGTAAGCCGTATCTTAAAGATGTAGGCACCAACTTTTTTTAAGTATATTTTTTATCAGTTTTATTGGTATTTATTTTTCCACAAACACAATGTGGTCTAACCATATTAAAATAAATATGATAAAGTCATTATTGAAAATCATGTGAATTTTTCAATATAAAATCAACAATAAGAATTGTATGTGTTCTCTAAATTCTATGCAGTGTCACTTTTGGAAAATATAACTCTTAATACAATCAGTCAACTTAATGGTTATTTTTTGGAGTGGTTTCCCATTCATTTATACATGAAAGCTTGATTTCATATTTTATTAACAACGCTTAAAATCTAATGATAAGAATACAGATTTTACATTCTATGTACGAAAAGCAATGTATAAAACAGGAAATTATTTAGTAGTAAACTTGGAGAGACCCTCCAATAAACCAACGTACGCTGTGTGTTCATAAATTGTACTCAATTCAATAATTTTTTCGGCAAATTCATTGCTAATACCTTTTTCTTCCAAGTAATTCATTAAAAGGTCATAAAGATACTGAAAAATAATTTGTATTAATTAGAAAAAAAAGTTGAAGGAACAAAAAAACAAAATCATTAGTTAAACTCACCCCATCAATGATTTCACCCCCCACTCGGTATGCATTCTCTGAGTCTTCTCCTTCATAGAGTGAGATTTCATCAATTCCAAAGATGTCATCTGAAAAAATTATTACAAAAGCATTAAATAACGAGAATAATTGAGAGGCATGATACAACAGGCAAGAAAGAGAACTTTCCATTAACTTGTAACACATTCATACATCATTCAATTTCAGACCAAGTGAAATCAAACATTTTACAAAAGTGTGTTTATTTACCAAAGGTAAATTATCGAAACGAACATGGCAAGTATCATTCCGTACTCAACACTTTGGAAGAAAATGAAAATAGAAAACTCAAGATACATACTGTACTCGTCGCTGGATCCCGAAGCACCTGGTTCCTCGTTAAAACTACATGAGAAAGCCAAGTTCTGGTTTCCCCTTTTGATGTTAATTTCAAAATTAGGTTTACTCTTCATCTCCCCCACATCTGGCTGGTCATCTTTAGGATCGATCTCTGGCTCCTCATCCGAGCTGACTGTGTGGTTGATGTTGAATTCAATAGTGATTCTGCAAAAGTACGAAAATTTACATCCGAGTAGCAAAAAGTTAACTTTTAGTGTCCGGTTTGAAAGAAGGAGGGGAAAAAAAGCTCACTGTTCGGTATCTGTGACCTTGGTGAGCTTAACGTCGGCTCCGTCCAAAGACACTTTGAATTCCTCCAACTTGGTAGGAATAGTTTTGAGCTTGAGGGCCTTCTTCTCCGCAACGATCTCCTCGGCCAAGAATTCCACCAGTTCCTTCTCAGCTGAAACAACGAAAAAGACACAGACACGGATAAGTCAGAGTGCTTCAGTCTCCAGTCTCTCTTTACTTTTGGTGCATGCATTTGCGCAATCTTTTTTTTTTAGACACACAACAAAAAAAAAAAAAAAAAAAAAAGAGCATGGACTAGCTGTAAGGTTATCCAAAGGCAAATCTCGATACTCACCCTTACTGTGGTTGAATCTGCAGGATACACAGGCGCAGGGATGCCTGTGGCTCTTGGCAAAGACCGACACTGCAGAGGAGACGGGCGACACGAGGCTCTTCTGCTGGAGGGTGCTGAAAAGGGCTCGCACGTTGCCGCCACTACTGCCACCGCGGCTGGTGAGCTTAACCGGCGCAACGACCAGGTTTTTCAACCTCAACGCGTTCCTGGCGATGCCGTTCATCGTGACTGACTTGATCTGTGATTCAACGAAATCTTGGGAGCGATGCCGGGGTGCGTCCTGAGGGTTGTCCTCGTGTTCTAGAGGATCCGCAAGGAGTTGTCGTTATGCCGGCACGCCGAGAAGTTCCAGAGTAACGCACCAAGATGGCTGATGCAAGACGCTGCATGTGCCTCTCTCTCGCGATCTCTCGGACCGTCTGCAAGTCTCGTGGACGCGAGAGCCAATGAGGGGGACGATTTTTCGAGATGACCAATGACAATTGTTGGATTGGACGAAGCTTTTCAAACCTCGGCAACCATTGGAAGGCCGAGTCGCGTTAAAACGCGGGAGCTTTCGAACACTTGTTTTTACAAACTACTTTTACGTGAAACACTTTGTTTTTAATTGGCTATAAGGGAAATGTTTGACTGGTGAAATTTTTTTCTCATTTCACCAGAAGGAAAAATCTCACAAGAAACAAAAAAAACTAAGAAATTACGAAGTACGAAGAACTAAAACTAACTAAAAAAGAAAACCGATAGATGTCGGGTAACGTACAGTTCTCGTAGAAATGTATTTTTATTCATTTGAATGGGGTGACTTGTAATTTTGTCGGAGCAACGAAAAACTATGACCAATCAAAAGTATAGAATAAACTTTTTTTTCCTTCTCTATACGTGCCAGGGGCTGTCACAGACGAACAAAAACTACCCAGATCGGTACGATTTCTTGATGACCCATACCCATGGGAAGTACAACCTTCGACTTTCAAGACGCGATATCTCAAAAACTCAAAATGAGATTTTAAAGAAAATTTGCTCATTTTTTTTTCCATTATACACTCTACTCGTAATGCCATCGTTATTTCGCGGCGCCTAGGAAATCATACCCTCCCCCTAAAGCCGAACGAGATGTGTTTTTTCACTTTTCAATTCTAAACTTTTTTATATTTTTGTTTTTTCTTCTTTACTTCACACCATACTCTATTACTTCTCAATATCATCGAAACAATTCATTCGAAGCGTGTATATTTTTTGTCCTCGTGCTGATAATTCATCTCAAATAAATTTATACATTTAAAACCAACATTAAAGCCCACATATCTGACCCGCTAGTTAAAAAATCAACAAATAAATAAATAAAGTGCCCCCTTTTTTTTGCATCCCCAATTTATATACTTGAAACCAGTAACTTTTGATGGATTCAACTCTGTAAAAGCGTGGAAAAAAAAAAAAAAAAAAAAAAACGAAGCAACCAGCTTACACATAGAGCTTCAAGCCAACAAAGTTCCCTCACCCACCTGCAGTTAGAAATCGATAAAATAAAAAATAAATGCTTCTGTTTTCCTTTTTTTTTCTCTTCCATGTAAACCCAATTACGCATTACAAGAGTAATATACATAACGTATGATGCGCTTTTTCGAGTCCCGAAATAAAAACTGTACACAAAGCCTTTGATCCTTCGGGACGACCCGTCGACTTTATTTGGCAAGGTTTCAGAGTATAAGTACCTGCAAATGAACGCACAAGTGCCCCGAACTCGGGGGCTGTGCTGTTCGCGGTAGAGCAAAATATACGCGTCTCACGTGGAATGGCACGCGCCCGTCTCGTCACGGTTTCCGGCATGTGGCTACATATCCCTCGTCAACGTAGGTAGGTATTTGTATGTATATATGTACACAGGGTGCAAAGTGGAGTAGGTGGTGCACACGACATATACGTAGGCAGGGGCCTCGCGTACTCGCTAAATCTGCGAAAATTGGATTGCCATATCCAACGATGCACGTTCAGGGCTTCCCCGACCTAGGCACCGATGACGTGTGCCATTGTTGGTCGTCGAGTGGCTCTCAGTTGGCGACACCGCGCCTCCGAGGCCTGAGATCCGCAGAGCCCAGGAGGGCAAACGGTTGTTTGTTCGAACGTTTTTTTTCCTCTTTGTCCCCCTTTTCATAAAAAATGACGAAAAAGTTTGAGTTTAATTGGCAGAGGGAAACGCCCCAGTTGTTGCTCACGGGGGGCACCTTTGACAGGTGGAAGGAGGACAAGGACGGCACGGACATCGAGCCAAACTGTTTGTGCAAAGTCGACAAGTACGGGTTTTTCTTGTACTGGAAGAGCGACGGCAAGGTAACGGACGCTTTTCAGTTTCACCCCCCACGTAGGATGTACGTATATTCTTTTTTTTTTTTTTTTTTTGTTTTTTTTCTTGTTTCAGGACGGAGAAGTCATAGAACTCGCCCAAGTGAGCGACATACGATTCGGCGTACCACCCAAGGTTTGAAACCATATACACCATGTACATATGCAGCTGTATTTACGGTATTACCTATGGAAAATCCTTGTCAAATTTTTCACAGGACTCGAAGATAATCAGCAAACTGAGCAAACACGGGACGCCGGAACAGATAGACGAAAAAACGTTCATCATATGCTCCGGCGCGGATTACACCAACATCAATTACATGCACTTTACGACACCGGACGCCAAAACTGCCAAGGTACACTTTTACTACAGAATTATGCGTGTGGCTCGCTTGTATCCTTTGTCAATTTTACATTTTGCCCTTTCGAACCGCCAAAGGACTGGCAAGCCGCGTTGAGATTCGTCACCCACAACACGAAAGCGAGCAACGTGTGTCCAACTACGCAGTTGATGAAACAGTACGTATAATTGTAGTTTTAGTTAATTGAAAATAAAATTAAAATCCTTGAATTTCATTATCATTCCAATTGGCGCAATTAAAAATGGGCAGTTGGATGAAGTTGAGCTTCCAAGTGGACCCGAAGGGCAAAGTTCCGGTCAAAGTGATCACTAAAACCTTCGCGTCCGGCAAAACTGAGAAACTCGTCTACCAAGGCTTGAAAGAGCTCGGCTTGCCCGATGGAAAAGTATTTGAAACCACAAATATATATACACATATAATTACACTTGTGAATGTATGAGGAAATTTAATGCACCCTTATTGTCCGACAGAACGACAAAATGGAACCGGAGGCCTTCACCTTCGAGAAGTTTTACTCCCTTTACTTCAAAATATGCCCGAGAAACGACATAGAAGAGCTGTTCGGCTCCATGTACGAAGTAGCAAAGTACAATTTTGGTTGAGACTTTGATTCGAATTTTTTTTTTTTTCCCCCCAGAACAAAAGGTAGATCCGAGACCATCAACATAGAACAGTTCGTGCAGTTTATGAACGAGAAGCAGCGCGACGCCCAGCTCAACGAGATCCTCTATCCGTTGTACAGCGAGGCTAGATGCACGGAAATCATAAACGACTACGAGACGGTCGAAGCCAACAAAAAAGCCAGTACGTATAAACCCGCACTTTGACAAATGATTTTTCATCATTAACGTGTTTGCCTGTCCACAGGAAGACTGTCCAAGGATGGGTTCATCCGGTACCTCATGTCGGACGAGAACGCGCCGGTGTTTCTGGAAAAGCTCGACGAGTGGATGGACATGGACCAGCCGCTGAGCCACTACTACATCAATTCCAGCCACAACACGTACCTAAGTGGCAAACAAGTCGGCGGCAAGAGCGCCGTTGAAATGTACCGGCAGACCCTACTGGCCGGCTGCAGGTTGTAAACGACATTCAATGTTTTTAAAATTTAAAATAATAATGATAAAACAGTGGTGAAACAAAGAATATCCCATCAGGTGCGTCGAGCTCGATTGTTGGGACGGCAAGACGCCCAAGGACGAGATAATCATAACCCACGGTAAAGCCATGTGCACCGATATCCTCTTCAAGGACGTGCTGGTTGCCATAAGGGACTGCGCCTTTGTGTCCACCGAGTACCCGGTGATCCTCAGTATCGAGAATCACCTGTGCATGTCGAACCAGTTGAAAATGGCCCAATACTTTGACGAGATATTCGGCGATTTGCTACTGAAAACGGCCCTTCCCGATTATCCGGTACGCGCATATGCCACCTAACTTTACACGTATTGTGTGACAATTAAGTCATTGGATATCGATTGTACGTAGCTCTACGTGGAAGGACACCCATTGCCCCCGCCGTCGGCGATGAAGAAAAAAATACTGATAAAAAACAAACGGCTGAAGCCCGAAGTGGAAAAGACAGAGCTCGAGCTCTTCCTCGCGGGTAAATTCGAAGTCAAGGACGAAGTCGTCGAGGACGCGAGCGCTCCCGCTCCACCGCCTGCCGAAGCACCGCCACCAGCACCGGTGAGTTTTGTATTTGTATTTACTATTAAAGGAAAAAAAACACAAATCATGATCATCCGCTCGTTGATTGGTACGTGTAGGAAGCTCCAGCGGCAGCCGCTCCCCCGGGCGAAGGTGCACCACCCGGCGAGGCCGGTGGCGAGGGCGGTGCCGCCGCACCGGTCTACACCGGCAGCGCCACATCCTGCCATCCTCTCCTATCCTCGATGATCAACTACGCCCAGCCCGTCAAGTTTCAGAGCTTCGAGCACGCCGAGAGTAATCATTATCATTATTATTACCAACAACGTGCACGTAACAACATGTATAGATGATAATATATATATATATTATATGTGTGTGCCGATGAACGTAGAAAAAAACATCCACCACAACATGTCCTCGTTCTCCGAGACGGCGGCGATGAACCACTTGCAAAAGAGCGGCGTCGAGTTCGTCAACTACAACAAGCGCCAGATGAGCCGAATATACCCCAAAGGCACCCGAGTCGATTCCTCGAACTACATGCCCCAGGTGATTATACGCGTCCATCGTATGTAGCTACCGCACTTTCCGTTCAATTTGTAAAAAGAGACAGCTCTACCAACGACGATGGAACATAGGCGAAGAAGAAGAAGCTCTATGGATGCGGATGAATTTGTATATATATATATATATAGCTGGCGCATATTGTAGTGTATACCATTTAATCGCATCAGAGAGAGAGAGTGCATTGGTGTGATTGTGTAGCAGTTGATCAGACGAGTGAGATTAATGAGTCGTTGTTTATTTTTGTTTTATCTTGACGCGCAGGTGTTCTGGAACGCGGGCTGTCAGATGGTGGCGCTCAATTACCAGACGCCCGACTTGCCGATGCAGCTCAACCAGGGAAAATTCGAGTACAACAACATGACCGGTTACCTACTAAAGCCCGATTTCATGCGCAGACCCGACAAAAACTTCGATCCCTTCTCAGAGGGCGTCGACGGCGTCATCACCCAAACCTGCTCCGTGCGGGTACGTTGTTTTGCGAGTTTGTTTGCCGATTCCCAATTGGTTCTAATCAAATCACCACCCCCCCCCCCTCCACCTCCTCACTGTCCTTTGTAGGTCATTGCCGGTCAGTTCCTGTCCGACAAGAAGGTAGGAACGTACGTCGAGGTGGACATGTACGGTTTGCCGGCCGACACCATAAAGAAAGAGTTCAAAACGAGAATGGTCCCGGCGAACGGCCTCAACCCGGTGTACAACGAGGAGCCATTTGTCTTCCGGAAAGTCGTCCTGCCGGACCTGGCCGTGCTCAGATTCGGTAATTTCTTGTGTGTTTTTTGTTTTTTGTTTGTTTTCCTTTGTACCGTTGAATCGTTGATCGATCGAGCAAGATGATAATCATTGCGCGGGTGGGCAGGTGTTTACGAGGAGAGCGGCAAATTGATCGGTCAGAGGATTTTGCCCCTGGACGGGCTGCAGGTGGGCTACCGGCACATATCGCTGAAAAACGAAGCGAACTTTCCCATGGCTCTGCCCATGCTCTTCTGCAGCATTGAGATGTCGATTTACGTGCCCGACGGCTTTGGTGGTACGTCGAATGAAAAAAAAAAAAAAAAAAAAAAACAACTTGGAGGATAAGCAAAAGGTGCCATTATACATTGTTGTTGGCGTTTCGCGATTTCAGATTTCATGGCGATGCTGTCGGATCCGGGAGCGTTTGGCAAAGGAGCGGAAAAAAGAGACGAGGCCATGAAGGGACTCGGAATCGAGCAAACGGACTCGAAGGCCGAAGCCAAGAAGAAGGAGGAAGAGGAGAGAAAAAAGAAAGGTATGCGTTGCACGAGTCTCTCACCTTTTTAATCCCATTAAATGTATCGTACGCATCGGGTCGAGGGAAAATTAAAGGTCTACGTGAGCGAGTATTCATATACCCCTACTGGATTCATTTCTGCAATTTTTTTACAAATAATCGGTTCAAGGACTCTCCAATTGTAAGGTTTTTTTTTTTTTTTTTTTTTTTTCTTTTCAACAACAATACACGTGTGATTGACGAAAGTAAAAAAAAAAATTCGCAGAGGAATTCAAGCTGCCGCCGTGCAATTTCGTGAACCTGCGCCGAGAAAAGTTCTGCAAGGCGAGCAAAAAGTGCGTCAAAGAGTTGGACACTTTGAAAAAGAAGCACACGAAGGAGAGGCAAACGATGCAGAAAAACCATTGCACAGCCATCGAGAAATTGACCAAAGGAAAAGAGTACGTGTTGTTTGTCGTACTGTCGATGGGGCCTTTTTTTGATAATTTTTTTTTTTTTTTTTTTTTCTTATTATTATTATTTTCGTACAGCAAAGACGCGCTCGTCAAAGACGAGAACATAAAGAAGCTCGTGAAAGAGCAAATGGCCCAGTGGACCCAAATGATGGAGAAACAACGCAAGGAAGAGTGGGATCTCAACAAGGCGCAGCTCGAGTCCTGCAAACAGGACGTCAAGGAGTGCATACCGGCCGTCCAGGCGAACCAGGTCAAACTTTTGGAAGCCAAACACGACAAGTTGGTGTCTCTCTCTATTTTTTTTTTTTCATTCGTGCTTTCAAATTTAATTTGTTAAAGTATTTTTTTTTTTTTTTTTTTTTTTTTTTTTAGAGACGTCAAGGAGTTGAACGCTAGTCAAGCCAAGGTGTCGGCCGACACGGCAAAGGAAGTTATGGCCGACAAGGCTTTGAAGACGAAGGGCGACAAGGACAGGAGACTCAAGGAGAAGAGGGCAAACAACATCAAGAAGTTCATGGACGAGAAGAAAAATCTGGCCATCAAGCAGGGCAAGGAAAAGGAGAAGCTCAAAGTCACTCACGAGAAACAGCTCAAGGAGATCGATAAGGACCTCGAGGGGGTCAGTCTATTGTGAATTTTTATCGATAATTGGGTGATTTTTTTTTTTTTTTTTTTTTTTTTTTTTTTTTTTTTCTTTTCAACAACTCGTACGTCTAAGCGGCTGTTTCTGCAGCCATAATTTTTGTACACTTATATTGAGGAGTCTTCAATTTATCATACCCAATAATTTTTATCCCACTGAGTGTCATACTTTCGAAGTTACGGGGTCTTAAGTAAAAATTGGTACAACCGTACCCAGTCTCCCCCTATGTAGAAGAATTAAAGTTTTCAAACATATTTGCAGTAGGTATAAAACTTTTGCAACATGTTTTATTTATCTGCATAAACAAAGAAATGTCTGCATCCAGAATTTCCAATCAGTTATAACTTAAATAAAAATTAACTTACAGTAAAGTGTACTCACAAGCATATTATCACAAACAGCATTTTCAGTTGCATTCTATTACGCTATTTGCTTTTTATAACTGTCATGAAACTGAAAATGCTCTTAACCACTGCATTACTTATTGTTAAACTCAAACATTTAAGAGAAAATAAAGCAATTCCTTTAAAGAGCTGGTTTCCTCTAGAGTTTTTTAATGATAACACACAACTCTAAAAATGTAAAATATCTATTAATTTAACATCCTGGTTGTGATTTTGATGTAGACAAATATCTAACAGGCTAAGTGTACCAAGAGCTCCCTATTAATTTTTTAAAACATCTAAATCATTTTTTGCATCAGTGAAATTAAAAATGTAAAATTTTAATATGTTGTATAATTTGTTTTTTTTGTTATTAGAGTGTATATATTGTA